CCTTGCGCGCAGTCTCGCGCCTTACGCGCTCCTCGTCGCGGCGCTTGCGCTGCTCCTCTTCGGCCGCGGCTTGCTTAGCCTTCACCGCAGCCTCCTCTGCGGCCTTCTCCGCCGCCTTCTGTGCCTCCTTCTCCTCCTTGGCCTGCTTTTGTTGCCTACAAGAGAAAGAATCAGTCGCGTCCACCCTACACGAAAGGCAACTCACCGCCGCTTGTCCTTCTTCTTCTGGTTCTGCGTCTGCTTCTTGGCCTCCTTCTCCCGCTCACGCTCGTCCTCGTCTTCAAGCTCCCGAAGCAGTTGCAGCTGGGAGAAAAAGGTATCAGCCTCACGTGAAAAAGGAGGCCATGAGAACCCCTCACCTGGCGTTCCTGCGCGACGCGCTCGCGGTACGCCTGCAGCACGCGCTGCTCGAACATCCGCGCCGCAAAAATGCTGAACATGCGCTTGCCCTCCTCCATTTTTTGCTCCTCCGTCATCACCTGAGATGAACGTCAGTTCGCTAGGAAAAAGTGTTACTACGAGAAGCAAACACACCTCCTCCCCTCCATCGTCCTCGTCATCCCCATCCTCATCTCCGCTGTCCCCGTCCTCGTCCCTGCGTAAAAAAAAAACAAGTCAGCAGATGCTCATGTCGAAGTGCTCCGAATTGGAGATCAAAATAGAGGTATGAAATAACACGCACCCACTCTCCCCTTCGGATTCTCCGTCGTCGTCCTCGTCACCCGACTCGCCGTCGTCCGGGTCCGACGAAGCGTTATCGTCGCCATCGAGCGAGCCAGAGTCGGCAGAGTCGTCCTAAAAAGGCGGGGTCAGCGGGTGTTTATAGAAACAGGAGAAGGGTGAGATGGGTGAGATGAGATGGGTGAAAGCGGCAATCAAAATACGGGAAGGGTGAGGATGCAGCGAGGTCGACTGCCCACGCTCTCTTCCAATCCTTCCCTCCCCCTGCCAGATACGACGACCGAAATAAAGGGAGTCGCTCCTTCTCGCCCCCACTCCCAAAAACCGACTACAAGAAACCAGACAAAATACACACCTCATCCCCACTAACACCCCCTGCCGCCTCCTCCTCGCGCGCCATCCGGCGCTCGGCCTAAAAGCACAAAAGATGGTTAGCAGGGTTTCTTTCGCAAAAGGAAAGGAAAGAGAGGGGAGTGGAAGCATGCAGAGGAGGAAGGGGGCATGCAGGAGCGGTGTGTATGGACATAAAGGAATGGTGTGTAGGGACGCAGGAGGAATGCATAACGACGCGGATCCTCCTGAGGAAAGCGTGCTTCCCGACTTTCGTAAGGATTCGCCCTTCGATTTTCGGGAAGCATGTGCGCGCTCTTCACGGACCGAAATCCATTGACCTTTGGAGAGTCAAGGTTGCCGATCCTTCACTCCACTCCACGTCGAATGGAAATCCCCCATGAGAAATAACGCGGGACCATGGAAAAAAAGAAACAGAGGAAGAAGGAGAAAGAAAACACACCAGCTGCTCCATCATCTCCAAAAACTTCTGCCCATCGTTCTTGAGCAGGTCGTCCGCGACGGTCAGGATCGAGGTCGGGCCTGCGAGTACGAAAGAAAGGTGAGTTAGCATTCGTCATCCGCATTTGTAATCCATATCGATATAAGATAAAATGCTGAATCGCATGTTTGAGAGGAGGAGGGGGGAAAAAATGAAGAAACAAGCTACACCCCGCATCCTGCCCTCAGGCACACGACGTATCAGGCACCACGTGGCCCGCTTCACAGTCAAAGTACGGCAGGCCGACCTAGACGCGGACGTGGAAGGAAGGGTTGCAAGCCGTCCAATCCCGACGTCCCAAGATATCCACGATAGTGTATCGATGGAGACAAAAGAAAAATCGAAATCGAGAAAAAAAGAAATGGACAAGATCAAGCGCTGCGGCGGATCAAGCGCACATCATCGATGGGACGTGTCGGGGGGGAAAATTGTACACATCGATGGGCACTCGAAAGCGGCACGCATCGGGAAGAAAGACGAACGAAAAGAAAGGGAGAAAAACGAAGGATGAAAAAAGGTTTCTTGAAAGGAGGATAACGATTGTTTCCACCAAGGAAAAGGAAAAGTCCAGCGCAAGCAGCCCAAAAAAAGGAGGAGAACAGGCCAAAAAAAAAAAGAATCGCAAAAAGCCACTCACCCCCAACACCCGCTCCTACGCCCGCCGCGATCTTGCCCTTCATATCCACGCCCCCGCCTCCCCTCGTCCCATCCCGCCCTCCTCCTCCACCACGCGCGCCCCGAACAGCGCCCCTTCCACCGCCGCCGCCCCGCCCATTCACCGCCGGCGGCGGGTACGCGTTGGGGTTCGGCGTCGGTGGGTACGACGCCGGACTATTGACCGTGGGTGGCGACGCCGGGTACGTGTTCGCAGGCGGGTACCCCGCATCTTCCTCCTCTTCCTCCTCGTCCGCGCTGGGCTCCTCGTACACATCGTCGTCGTCGTCCTCCTCTCCTCCCCCTCCGCGGGGCGGATTCAAAAGCGCATTTGGGTGCCCGGGCGGCAGCGGGTGCGGGTGCGGCGGGTACGGCGCGGTGATCGTCGGCCCGTGCTTCCCCATCCCCAGCGTCGTGTTCACCTGCACGTTTGGATGCACACCGCCGTTCACGTTTGGATTCGGGGTGGGGTTGTTCTTGGCGTTGGGGTTGACGGGTGGATTCGGTGCAGGGAGGACCCCGTTGTTGTTATTGGGGCCACGCCCCCGCCCCCGGACGCGGCGGGCGGGCGGGTAGCCTACAGCACCGGCGACGACGGCGCCGTAGCGGTCGACTTCGACGCTCCCGGGGAACGGGCCGGGTCCGGGCGGCGGGGGGAGGGTGCGATTGGAGGAGAGGTACTGCTGCTGGTAGAGCGCGTACTGCTCGAGGTCCTCGTAGTACGCGTCGTAGAGCACTTGGAGCTCCTCCTCGATTGCGTTGCTGAGGTGTGGATGAGTACATATAAAAAGGGTGAAAGACGGTGAACGAGAGGGAGTAGGGGGTACAGATGAAGTACGAGTAAAGAAGGGTGTGGTGTAGGACAGCGGAAGACGAGCACGCACCGCTTCCGGCCACACACCGCACACGAACACGAGTGCTTCTGCTGCTCCTTCATCTTGCGTAACACCGTGTCCTTCTCCACCCGCACGAGGTCCCGCCTTTCGTCCTCGCCCAAAGCCAGCCAGAAGTCGCGGATGCGCTCGCGCTGCTCGATGCTGCTCGTGCTCCAGATCTTGTTGTTGTTGGCGTTCGGATTGTTCGCCCCGGGGGTGGCATTGGCCGCACCCGCCGCGGGCTTCTTGCCGTCCGCGAACCCGGGCTTGCCTACGAAAAAATCAGTCAATCACTCTGCGTCCACCGGGTGGACTCGGTGCTTGCCTGCGAGGAATCGGAATCAGTACGGGATCGGGATGGAGGATAAAAGAGAAACATAGCACACCTGAATCGGGGTACGTTGCTGCGACGGGTGCCTTTGCCTGTGCGCGTGCGCTCCGTGGTGCGGGCGGGGCCTGTGTTTGCTGGTAGGCCATGGGCTTCTTGCCGATGGAGACGCTGGAGGGCGGCGGCGGCGGCGGCGGCGCCATAGCTTGGACTTTATTTATTGATTTATTTATTATTTCGCAACGGTCTTTCTTTGACCTGGTGCGTCGGTCGAGTTATCGGTGAGTGATGACTTGACTTTGAATTGTTGTATGGATATTGGGTGTGTGTCGTGGGGGACAAAGTAAGGTGCTCGACGGCGGGGGCACCAAGCTGGACTGTCGTGAATGGCCCTGTGCTGGTACCGGCGTGTGTTTGGAATGTCCGCTGCAGCGGTGGGAGCAGGCGACGGTGAAAAGTATTGGTCAGCAGGCCCTGGCGGAGTTTCAATTCGGCAAAGGTATCCGATTCATTTCCCGTGCCGCCACCATCTCAAGAGGGTACTCTTTGTTCTGCGAGGGTACATGGCGCTTTGCGGACTGCTTGGATTTTTTTTGCAGGGCGCTCTTTCTCGTTGTCAATTTCCCCTTTGCTTTGGACCGCCTTTATGTCGTTGACACTGCTTTGATGTGAATCAACGCTAGTCATGCGAACGCACTCAACTACCTGCTACCTCAAACCTATGAGGTCGGTTGGAATCCCACAACGGTATACGGTCTTCGCTATCAACAGGAAGCTCCGAATCATCCAACTCTTCTCCAACTCTCGCACTTTCCTGGCAACAATTTACCTCCAATTGGCAACGGCGGCAACGGCCTCCATGTTCCTGTTCAACTTGGTTGGTCTCGGCCCCATTGTCGCCATTTCAACGCATACCTTTAGCAGCACAGACGCCTTCTCAGCTCTCTGGCATCTCCTTGGTCCACGTATGTTTGTTTATTGTTCCTACCTCCATTTGATCCCCGGCAAAATCGATGAAACTCGCGCCCAGCCAGATTCAATCATCTGCTACCTCTCTATTGTTTTACGCTTCTTACGAGTTCCAGTCTAGAAATAAGTCTCGGTGCGACAATTCATGAAGACCGTACAGTTCAAGACCAACCATCATCAGTAAATAAGCATGATTCAAGTCAGCAGCCGACGAAGCTTCAACGTTGCGAGTTGCAGGGAGGTTTTGAAATGCGCAGTCAGCGCAAGAAGTATCAGGACCGCTATACAATGAGAACTTTGGCTAATTCACGGCCGACTCTTAGCTAGGTTGTAGTCCAATCATCCAAACTAGCATAGAGTGTCCATCCACGCACGATGTATTCTACGTATCACCATATATACGTACATCGCTTCCTTCCAAGTCAATGTGATGTATCATTATCTTGGAATCATTTTTGGTGTAAACACAGCTTAGCATTCCCGGTAAAATCTCAACATTCGTTCCCCGTAATATCTCGACTTGGCATTCCCGGAGGAACCTTCGACCCTGCTCAAGAGAATAACTGATAAACGCAACACATACGTCTATTGAAAGCGCTGTTCAATCAACGACCCAACTAAGAAGAAGAAGAGAAAAAAACGAAAATGTGCTTCACGAGCATGACCCGACCTCGAGTCGAACGGGGATCTCCTGCTTAATTATCGTCCAATTATTTTAAGTATAGCAGGTATGCTAACCATTGCACCATCAGGTCTTCATCCCTTTTCATTACAACCTGACTTGACTCGAAGGATCCAGTTGAATTGAGGTACAATTAAATGAATTGCGCCAATCACATCGGTCACCTCGTAATCCTGCCTCCTCCCAATATCCTACCAAAACAGTTTGTACCGTATCCCATATAGCTCGTGGAGGCGCGGATTTGGCACAAAAAACAGAATTGGGAGACCAGTAAAAAAATTCATTGATCACACGCCAGTGACCCACCCCGAATCGAACGAGGATCTTCTGCCTAAATACATCCTCCGATCGACTATTTCGAGCAGATGTGCTAACCGTTGCACCATTAGGTCTTCCATGACTGCCCTACTGTATTGAATAACTGGGAAAATTTAAATTCCGGTTCAACTTTCAACGTCATATAAATCAACCCACCTCAGGCTTCCACTCTCAACACATGTAACTGTTGTTTAAATTACATTCCTGAAGGTACAGTATCCAGAAATGAAAAATAGTAATGTCAAGTGCAGCAGAGCTTGAGCAGAGAACGACGACTCACGACGAAAAGCAATAGCGATTGGGGGGGAAGGGGGAAATTGAAAAAAAAAATACCTAAGAAGTTTGACATGACCTGACCGCGAATCGAACGAGGATCTTTCGCCTAATTTTATATCCTAAAAGTAAGGAAAATTTGAGCAGGCGTGCTAATCATCGCACCATCAGGTGTTCCTCCGAGTTCCAAAGCCTGCTATGAATGTTGAACCCGACTCGGAGGATTCAGTTGAATATCATATTAAATAATTATAGGAATTGTATCGATTGCACCGGTCCTGCCTCGCAGTATCTTGTCGATACAGTTTATACCGTGTCGTAATTTGGAGGCGAGGATGTAGCAGCAAAGAGAGAGAAAACGAGGATAGATACAAAAAGCTCTTTTTCTTTACCACCACGACCAAACCCCGAATCGAACGAGGATCTTCTGCCTACATTCATCCTCACGAAATATTTCAAGCAGACGTGCTGACCATTGCACCATCAGGTCCTCCATGGTTCTCAAGCTACTTCGCATACTACATAAGTAAAACTCAAGGCTCGTTCGCAGATATCAAACCTACCATAATTCTTCCGTCCCTTCCGAGTCTTCTTCAATCAAAACACAAAATTGTTGTTCGAATTACATTCCTGGAGGTATGCCTGGATGCGAAGTAACAAGGTCAAGTGCAGCAGAGCGTCTGGAAGGGAACGAGTGTGTAAAAATCAACAGCGACTGATAAAAGGAAAAACCCCCCAAACCAAAGAAAAAACAATCTAACACAATCCCCGAATCAAACGGAAATCTCCTGCGATCTAGGGAGCGTACGAAGTTATTCAAATTAGCCATGATAACCCCCACACCATCAGGTCATTCTGTTTGGTTCAACAGCTCATTATATGTCTAACTTAAGATTTACGGATACTGCGCCATTAATCCTTTACCTTCGAGGTACTCATAAAATCAGCCACATCAATTTCAGTCGCTTCCAATCCTTGGAATAAGGTGCACAGGCTCAGCATTCAATTGCTATCGACTTCAAGCTGGGTGCTAACCATTGCACCATCAGGTCGCGCTACCTTTCACAACAACTCGGTACAAGTTAGCGTCGGAAAATCGCTTCTCACCCTCAAGCCGATAAATCAACCACATCAGCTTCAGTCCGCTCCAGTGCTCGTACTTTACCTACGTTGAGTTAGTTTTGAGAGGCTCAATCTTGAGGAAAATTGTTGAGACGGAATTCTGGGCAAGAAAGTTGTTGAACAGACGTGTTCATACCTGTGCCACAACTTAGCTCAAGTCAATGTATGTAGAAACTTACACTGGGGGCAAAGACCGGGGCACCTGGATTTCAGGTGCCTCCGACGCATGTCCATCGAAGGCCATGATGGGTGTTTTGGCACAAAGGAAATAAAGGTGAGAATTCCTTTATTTCCTTTGTGCAGACTGGGTCCATCGCACCTGCAGACCACATGCCTCGGAGGCACCTGGTGTCCGGGTGCCCTGAATTTTGCCCCCAGTGTTAAAGGACTATTTCCGGATTCAACGTTCAAATTCAGGCAGAAATGAACGCGTCATCAATTTCAGTCACCTCTAATTTCAGTATCCTTCTGAATCCAATACAATGGTGTTAGCGTTCTCGGAGCTCTGAAAAGGAATTCACATAACCAGAATGAGGATGGAAGGTTGGCTAAAGGTTGAATCCGAAGGACTCAACCAGTTGATTACGGAGATGGAGAAAGCCGGCAGAGTAGTCATGGCCTTATACCCCCGGGGGGTCTGAGGAGCGACATCCATCAATGATAATCAGTTGATGTCTTCCCAATCCGGCGATTCACGCTCAATCGGGACGACAGCAATCAAGGCGCGCGGTGGACGCGCGGGTGCAAACACATTTCCCTGGATGAGGGTGAATATCACCCTTCTGTTTGCAACCCCGCATGTTTCTGAGTGAAATCAATGCCAGAAACTCACACATCACTGGATGAACATTTCGAGTTTTTGACTGCTAAAACTGGTGAAAAATATTTAAAGTTTTACATCAATTTTTCACTGCAAAAGTTGGTGAAAAATTCAAAAGTTTCTTACCACTTTTCCAAGTTAGAATGAAAGTGAAAAACTCGAAATAAAATTGATAGTTTCTTTTAGAAGATTTTCATCAATAATGTTTCGGATTTCACAGAACATTTCTTACTGCAAAAGTTGGTGAAAAAATTAAAAGTTTCTTACCACTTTTCTGGGTTAGAACAAAAGTGAAAAACTTGAAATAAAATTGATAGTTTCTTTTAGAAGATTTTCACCAATAATGTTTCGGATTTTACAGAACATTTCTTACTGCAAAAGTTGGTGAAAAATTCAAAAGTTTCTTACCACTTTTCCAAGTTAGAATGAAAGTGAAAAACTCGAAATAAAATTGATACTTTCTTTTAGAAGATTTTCATCAATAATGTTTCGGATTTTACAGAACATTTCTTACTGCAAAAGTTGGTGAAAAATTTAAAAGTTTCTTACCACTTTTCCAAGTTAGAATGAAAGTGAAAAACTCGAAATAAAATTGATAGTTTCTTTTAGAAGATTTTCTTCAATAATGTATGGCTGTAATAGTGTAAAAAAATTACTTTGTGCCACACTGAATTCTCCTCCTAAAAATGTGTCCGGTTCGCTAGCCAGTTCAAAAAAAGGGGACAGTTTATGAGGTGGACAAAAAAGTGACTGCATAACAGACATGGACATTGTAGCAACTGGAAATCTGGGGAGAAAAAGTGACCGGTATTCTTTGAGCCAGTTCGCCCTTGGCTTGCCCACGGAGACATTTACTCAACATTTACTCGTGGCAAATACCGAATCAAACCACAAGGTGATCACTTGGCATCACCGGAATCAGATGCGACGATGACACGGCTGAAACTCATACGAGTGGCACAGACACCTGTCCAGAACTTCTTCATGGAGGCCCACACCATGACCACACAAGGTCAATTTATTCTTGACTTTCTAATGAATGTGGAACTGGCTGTGGAACAGAGTACTCATCAGCTGGAGGCAATTTGACAGATACTATGCACCATTGAGGATCTAGCCTCACAGAGGAAGTACACCAGACACTGCTGAATGTTATTCAGACCCTCCTTGTGCCGCTGGAGGAGTTCATCACCAACCCACCGCCACCACCTAGCACCTTGCTGCCCAAGAAACACACTGGAACGCCTGGTCGTCCTCTTTACGCACCCGATATCAGCTGGGTTCACCTTCTCCGCGACCCGGGTAATTGATATAACAATATGTAATTCATTTAATTATATTGCCGCAGCTATGGGTGAACCTGGCCCACTCTCTACAATCATCTGGAGTAGCACCAGGTCTCACCTCGGTTCGCTGCAGAGCTGGACAAGTGACCCAGGGGTGATACTTTTGTGCAACCCTTGGTTGTTACTTTATCCCTCCCTCCAAACAGTTGACACTTTCTTGCCACATCAGTGTGTGCATTTTTATTATGAAACTTCCTGAGTTGCTACTTTTTTCAACCAAAGTGGTCTTGGTGGCTCCTTTTTCCATGACATTGTGGTGTGTGCGCTTTTTTCAACAAAATTAATTATTTTACAGTATTACAGCCATAATAATGTTTCGGATTTTACAGAACATTTCTGGCTGCAAAAGTTGGTGAAAAATTTGAAAGTTTCTTATCATGTTTCTGAGTTGAGACAAAAGTGAAAAACTTGAAATAAAATTGATAGTGTCTTTTAATCTTTTTTTTTTCCGTCAGGACAACTTGGCCTATGGCAGTCAATCTGTGCATTTAAGTTTTCATGCATATTTTTCCTGATACAGTGTGGTTTTCAGCTGTTTTCGGTGAAAATTGCTGAAGTGAGTGAATTTTCAGATGTTCAGAAAAAAATCTTGTTTTCCTGAAAAGGGTATCTTGTTTTCCTGAAAAGGGTAATGAAGGTTTTTACAATGGCCTCGGTCTACTCAAAACCACCCTCACATCCGACTTCCGCCAAGGTTTGCTCCCAGCGGAAATAAAATACCTCTATAATCGCCTGTTTGCAGGGAGAAAGCGGAAGTTAAATCCATTGTGGCACGGATGGCTTGGCGGTGAATCCAAGTGGACAAATGGGTGCCCCCGGGGTGCCAGGCATCCAAAACCACCCTCAAATTCAACTTCCGCCAAGGTTTGCCCCCAGCGGAAATAAAATACCTCTATAATCGGCTGTTTGCAGGGAGAAAGCGGAACTTAAATCCATCGGAGCACCAACGGCTTGATGGTGGATTCAAGTGGCCAAATGGGTGCCCCTGGGTACCAGGCATTCAAAACCACCCTCAAATTCAACTTCCGCCATGGTTTGCCCCCAGCGGAAATAAATGACTGATTTTCGACCAATGGCAGAGCAGAACCGGAATCCGCAGAGCTGCTGCCACCTCGGAGGGACTTTCAGTGGCATAGGGTCACATATTGAGCCTCGGCTTGCCCAAAACCACCCTCAAATTCAACTTCCGCCATGGTTTGCCCCCAGCGGAAATAAAATACCTCCATAATCGGCTGTTTGCAGGGAGAAAGCGGAACTTAAATCCATCGGAGCACCAACGGCTTGATGGTGGATTCAAGTGACCAAATAGGTGCCCCTAGATGCCAGGCATCCAAAACCACCCTCAAATTCAACTTCCGCCAAGGTTTGCCCCCAGCGGAAATAAAATACCTCTATAATCGGCTGTTTGCAGGGAGAAAGCGGAACTTAAATCCATCGGAGCACCAACGGCTTGATGGTGGATTCAAGTGGCCAAATGGTTGCCTCTGAGTGCCAGGCATCCAAAACCACCCTCAAATTCAACTTCCGCCATGGTTTGCCCCCAGCGGAAATAAAATACCTCTATAATCGGCTGTTTGCAGGGAGAAAGCGGAACTTAAATCCATCGGAGCACCAACGGCTTGATGGTGGATTCAAGTGGCCAAATGGTTGCCTCTGAGTGCCAGGCATCCAAAACCACCCTCAAATTCTACTTCCGCCATGGTTTGCCCCCGCGGAAATAAAATACAGAATTTATGACTGATTTTCGACCAATGGCAGAGCAGAACCGGAATCCGCAGAGCTGCTGCCACCTCGGAGGGACTTTCAGTGGCATAGGGTCACATACTAAGCCTCGGTTTACCCAAAACCACCCTCAAATTCAACTTCCGCCATGGTTTGCCCCCAGCGGAAATAAAATACAGAATTTATGACTGATTTTCGACCAATGGCAGAGCAGAACCGGAATCCGCAGAGCTGCTGCCACCTCGGAGGGACTTTCAGTGGCATAGGGTCACTTACTGAGCCTCGGTTTACCCAAAACCACCGTCAAATTCAACTTCCGCCAAGGTTTGCCCCCAGCGGAAATAAAATACCTCTATAATCGGCTGTTTGCAGGGAGAAAGCGGAACTTCAGTCCATCGGAGCACCAACGGCTTGATGGTGGATTCAAGTGGCCAAATGGTTGCCCCTGAGTGCCAGGCATCCAAAACCACCCTCAAATTC